TTGAGTGAAGTGAGGGAGGAATATGTGGGTATCTGAGGGAAGAGCATTTAGGCAGAGGATGTAAAATCTTCTGTAAAAATGTGAAATCCAGGGTAAAATCCTAAGGCAGAAAGCAGGAGAGGACCCAGCATGTTAGGAGATTCATGGGCTGACTGGTATAATGGGAACAGAGTAACGGGACCCCTGGTAGGAAAGGAGGTGGAGAGACAGTGAGAAACCAGACCATGTGAGACCTTGGAGACCATTTTTCTTATGAGCAGAGGAGGGACATAATCTAAGTTTCATTTTATTTTTTTATTGTGGTAAACACACATATAACAAATTACCTGCCATATCAACATTCTATGTGTCTACAATTCAATGACATTAGCTATATTAATCATGTTGTTTAATTATTACCATTATCCATTTCCACGTCTTCTCATCACTCTTAGCAGCTCAGCATCTCCTAAGCGGGAAGCTCACCTTTCCCCCTTTTAACCACCAATAAGCTTTGTCTCTACACACTTGCTGATTATTTTTACAGGCTGATGTGTAGGGAGCTGAATTTTCTTGTACAGCAAATTCAGAGGCCATTGTCATAATATAGGTACAGGAAGACAGCTGCTAGGGCCTGGGTGGTGGTAATGAAGATGGAGAGAAGTGGTTGGGTCTTAGGACTATTTTGACAGCAGAGCTGAAGCTGGAATTGCTTATGAGTTGGAAAGCAGAGAGCCAAGGATCATTCCAGGATTTGGGGCTGAGTAACTGGAATAATGGTAAAGATGGTGAGAAGAGCAGTTCAGGGGAGGAGGAGGTCTGGGGTTCAGGCTGGGAAACCTGGGATGCACTTTATATTCCCATGTATGGATGTCAAGGAGGCAGTTGGATATGCTCTACTGGACATCAGAGAAAAGGTCAAGGTCATGGATATGACTATGACATTTAATATCACCTAACTGGATGAGATCATAAAACAGCAAGTACAGACAGAGCAGAGAGGTGCAAGGACTATGTCCTAGGTGTCTCTGTGGCAAAGAAGAAAAACCCTTAATTTTGCTCATGGCTGTGTTCCACAGTATCTAAAATAGTATTTGGCACATAACTGCAGGGTCAATGTTGGCTGCATGGATAGCTGAGTGAATAAAGGGATGATGGGGCTAAATGCTAAGAAGGAAATAAAGCAGGGTAATGAGTTCAAGAGCACCTAGGAGACAGGAGTCAGGAGACTCCCTCTGAGAAGACGACATTTGATGCAAACCTTGAAGAACAAAGAGCAGTCAGTCATGTACACAGAGTTGCAGAAGAGACCAAGAGTTCAAAGGCTCTGAGAGTACTGGAAGTGAGCTGCTGAAAGATCAGTGCGTGGAGGTGCAGTGAGGATGGGTCACGCAGGGCCTCGCAGGCTCAGAACTTAGACTTGGGCTCACATCTCGAATTTCCTGTTGTTCTCAGGTGCCACTGAGTCCATTCTGATTCAGCAGCCCTGTATCCACCAGAATGAAATGCTGTCTGCTCCTGCCCCATCCTCACAGTCGATGCTGTGTCTGAGCCTGTTGTCACCTTTGCTGTGTCAGCCCATCTCACGGAGGGTCTTCCTCTTTTTTCACTGACTCTTACTTTACCACGCATGACGCTCTTCTCCAGGGGCTGGTCCTTCCTGATAACAAGTCCAAAGTATGTGAGACAAGTCTGGCCATCCTTCCCTGGAGGGTTTTAAACAGGAGTTAAGTGATTCGATTAATGCTCTAAATGTTCCCTCGGAGGTTTGAGGTGGAGAATGTTCAGTAGGGAGGCAAGATGGCAAGCAAGGGAAATGTTAGGAAAGGCTTGGGCAGCGTTCAGGTCAGCGATGCCTTGCTGGGGGCAAAGCCAGTGTGTGTGTGTGGGGGGAGAGAAATGGGCCGATCCAAGCTATTTTAGGAACATAATGGTATGAGTGGGATTCAAGAGCCAGTGCTTGTTCAATTGTGCCATGATGCTCCTGACTGACAGACTTGATGGATAGCAGACTTAGACAAAGACCAGAACCCCAGTAGGGATGTGTGTTTGCTCTCAGGATCTCTATTTAGTCTCCTAATCCCAGAGTCTATGGATTATTTCAGGTTGGAAGATGATGGAAAGAGGTGCTTGGCTGGGAGGGTCTTTCCATATCAGGCTTTAAGCCAGGACTCCAGGCACTTGACCCTGGGAGGGTCCTTCCTTTCTTTTTTCCATCAAGTCCAGGTGCATATTCTCTCCCTAAGCCTGGTCCTACTCTAAAGCCTCCTCTGTCTGTGTGAAATGGTTTTAAAATATGCCCTCCAAATCCTTGGGCATTCTTCTCATAGAGAGGTAGGGCTGTATCCCCTCCCCCTTGATACCCAGTCTTGTGACTTGAGTAGAACACAAGGGCAGGATGCTGTGTCCATTTCCAGGCCCAGATATTAACCAACTGGCAGCTCTGCTGTCAGTCTCTTGGGATGCTCACTCTTGGAACTTGGCCACCATGCTGTGAGGAAGCCAAAACAACCAACAGAGAGACCATGAAGAGCTGTCCTGGTTGACACCCTCACCTGAGGTCCCAGTTGACAGCCAGCATCAACTGTCCCAAGCTTTGACCCACCCCACTGACACTGTTTTGGAGGGGAGATGAATTGTTCTAGCTGAACCCTTCTCTGATGGCAGACCTATGGGCAAAATGCATAATCACTATAGTTTTAAATTAATAAACAGGGTGATTTGTTAAGAGGCAATAAATGACCAGGCTACCTTGAAAGGTGCTACCATGTTATCAAGAAGCCCAGGAGTCACCCCTCTCCCCACTTCTCTGAAGGCTATCCACCTCTACATATCATCAAATCTTCCTTCTAAATACCTCTTGGATCTAATCCTCACTCCATCTTGCCTGCCACCTCTATCTGTCTACTGGACAACTACATCAGCATCTGATTAGTCTCTTCCTACTTTTGTGCTCTGATGGCTAAGTAGTAACAGGAATTATGCTTACAACCAAAAGGTACTTGGTTCAAATCCACTGGTGGCAAAAAAGATGGGTAATCTCTTCCTGTGCAATTTACTGCTTCTGAAAACCTTCTGAAGGGTCACCTGAGGGTTGGTTCCAACTTGACAGTACAATAACAACACTCTTGACTATGGTGTGTTTCCCACACAATAACCAAAAAACCTTGCTGAAAGCAAACCTGAAAAAACAAACACCAAAAAGAAACCAAATCATCATCAACAACAACAAATCCCACCTCTCCAGCCTTCTCTATTTATCTGGGGCAACTGATGGCTCTCCATTGTTCCTAGGCTCAACCTTTCCCCTTTTGGGTTTTGGCCACACTGTTATTTAGTCTCATCCTCTAAGATTGCATGTGCTCTGCCCCAGGACTTTTGCACCTGCTGTTTCCCCCAGGATGTCCTCCCCTACCTACCTACTTATGCCCATTTATACCAAGGTTTCAGCTTCTTTAGAGAAGGGTCTCTAATCAAGTGGTTCTCAAAATGGAGGTCCCAGGCCAGTATCATCAGCATCTTGGAACTTGTTAAAAATGCAAATTCTCAGGCTCCAACCCTAGCCTATCGAATCAGAAGCTCTGGAGGGGGCCCAGCAGTCCGTGTCTAACATGCCCCTCAGGTGACTGGGATGCATGAACCTGAGAACCACAGTTCTAAGCCCTAGTTCAGGGCTTTGTATATATTTCCATCCCAGAATTCCTTCCCTCCAAGCCTTCTGAGGTTATTACACAGGTCTTTAGTGAGATTATCTGATGAACATCTGGCTCCCCGACTAGATCCAAGCAGAGGGACTGTGCAGTTTTTGTATCATTGCATCCCAGCGTCTGGCACCCATCAGGGGATGGCTTACGGGATACAAGAGAACAAATGTTGAGTGTCAGCCTCCAGGTGGTCATGGCCTATCTGGTATGGAGGAGGGGCAAGAGCTGGTATCTTACAGATCTGGGACCCTAAAAACAACCGAGGGGAGGGTGAAAGAGTTTTAGTGTTTTGGGCCTGGATTTAGTTCCCAAAGTAAAAGGGGCTGTTCAGATGGGAGGAAAGATGACCAAAGTGTTCCCTCCCTCTCTTGTTTTCCCCACTCAGGGAAAGCCCTCAGCTGGCTCTTATTGAGCACAATTAAGCCTAAATCTTAGGGCTTTAGGTGTTTTATATCAATTAATCCTCACAGATAGCTTCTGAGGTAGGTTTTATTAATATTCCCATTTTATAGATGAGAAAACTGAGTCAATGAGGCTCAGTAACTTGGCCAAGATCACAGAGCAGCTCAAGATTTGACTCTTGGTAGATGGAGAGGCCCAGGAGGAATGTGCAGTGGGCAGGGGGGAGCCTGTTTAGGGTCTCACCTGCCCTTCTATAAGGCCCCTCAGCCACAGCCAATACAGACCTTTGAGTCAGAGGCCCTGTGTTGTCAGACCTTCCCAAATTGTCAAGAGAAATGAAAAATAAAATTGGATTTTTATATAAAACCTCCATTTCTGAATGTTAACAAATAATTAGATTTCTTTTAAAGTTTAGTTGCCCACAGAGATAAAACGAATGGCTGAGCCAAAGGACATATGGGGCCAAGCTAGAGAGTGAATGGGTTGCAGAATGTAGACAAGGAGACGAGATGATGGGTGTTAGAGGTCAGCTGGACATGTACGCACAGCAGAACAGAGCCCATGTGGGCAATCTCCATGAAATCCAGTCCCTCTCCTTGGTGGCATGTATTTCCTTACAGGAAGATTCCCTAATTTTGACCCTCAGTTTACAATACCAGCTCACTAGTGAGCACCAGGGACATACAGGCAGGGACAGGGCCTGCCTGCTCACAGCTGTATGCCCAGCTGTGGGTTTGTATAACAGAAGGTGCTCGTTAAATGCTTGCTGATGGAAAGAAGAGTGGAAACCCCTTCACAGCCACGCTGTCTCCTCCCACTTCCCAGGGAGAGGCAAGGGGCGTGGAGATGGGACCCTGGGGGTTAAAAGGCTGCAGCTGCAGCGCAGGGGTGCAAGGATCTGGAGGTGGATGCAGCATGGCTGCTACTAGCCCTGTGAGTCCATCTGCCTGCTCTTTCTGAAGCCAGGGACAGGACTGGGGGGCCTAGGTGAGTGTGGGGACAAGCTGGGTGTCTGGGCTCATGGCTCATCCCGGCTCCTTTCTTTTGGTCAGGCAAGACATGTCGGGAGCGGAATCCCAAAGTGGGAGAAAGGCGAAAAAGAAGAGGTGAAAGAATGGGAAGAGAAGTGGGGAAAGGTGGTGAAAGAGAAGGATGGGAAGGAGGCAGAGAAGATGGAAAAAGAGGAGAGAGTGGAGGAGCTGGAGGCAGCAGCGGCGATGCTGATGAAAGAGAAGATGGTGCTGTACTCCTCCCAGGATCTGCTGCCTCTGAGAAAGGACGAGGGGCCTGTGGAGGTGGAGCTGGAGCTGCACCAGCTGCAGAACAGGTCCGCAGGCCGTGGCCCCTAATTGGGTTTGTGCCCGTAGGTGGCGTCTTCCTGTCTGCCCCAGTTCCTCATCCTCCAATAGCCATGGCTGTTCTGTCTAAACCTCGGGCTTTGTGAGCCCCTCCAGACATAACCCGGCTGACATTCTGGGTTAGCCAGCCCCACTCAACGCCCTGCTCTTCAGAATAACTGCTCTCACCTACCCGCTTCTTAATCCTCTCCCCATGCGTCCTCAACCTGGGCAGAGCCATGCCCTGCTGGCCCAGGTGGGGGTGGTCACTGAGGTGGGGTGCTCTCTGCTTCTTCTTGGTCACTTTCCATCCAGGTGGGCTCTGTGGTTCTTCAAGAATGACAGCAGCCGGGCCTGGCAGGACAACCTGCATCTGGTCACCAAGGTGGACACCGTGGAAGACTTCTGGGCGTGAGTGTCTGTTCTCTTAGAGGCTGGGGTGAGGAGGGGTTCTTAGCAAGGCATCCTTCCCTGCCTCCTTTCCTCCAAGGAGCTGCTTCCTGCATTAGCCCATCATCTCAATCCTCACTGGTCTGATGGCTGTGGCTGGGTGAGCAGCCTTGGTGGTACAGTGTTTAAGTGCTTAGCTGCCAACCAGAAAGTGGACCCCACCAGCCTGTCCTCACTCAGGAGGAAGAAGCAGAGGTTTGCTTCTGTGTGTTGACAATCTTGGAAACTTCTGGAAGCAGTTACACTGTGTCTTATAGGGTCGCTATGAGTTGAGATTGACTTGACAGCAGTTGGCTTGGGGCTGCATGCATTTTCTTCAGGGACCTGAGACTGGGGCACAGTATTCTATAAACCTTCTTGAGGTCAAAGGCACGTGAACCCCTGGGAAATGGAAGAACCTTGGACCAGACTTTCTGCTTTTGCACTTCTGCAAAGGTTCCTTACCCTTTGTGAGCCTTTCAGCCGCACCATGAGCAAGGCTGTCTTAGCCAGCACACAAGGGGCACAGAGAGGGTGTCTGGAAAGTGCTAGGCAAGGCTGGGAGGCCTCCTAGGCTTGAAGCCCAAGTCTCTCTCATTGCTGAGTTAGAACAGAGTCATAGTTGATCCTCCAGCAGGTTTTCAGAGGTATGAATCACATGGGTGGGAGGCTGGTCATCTCTCTCTCACGTAACAGTTGGTGAATTTGAACCACCTGCCTTTGGTCAGCAGCATAACTCATTACACACTACAGATACTCAAAGGAAAAAAATCAAAGTCCTTGCCATGGAGTTGGAACTGACTCACGGCTGACACTCCAGTGGACTTACAGAGGCTGTAAATCACACAAGAGGAGGCTGCTCATCTTACCCCAGCAAGGCAACTGGTGGACTCAAACTGCTTTGCCTTTGCATTGGTAGCGCAACTCCCTACCCACTAGACCACCTGATCTCCCCTCTAGCTTAGCTTTGTCATTATGTGACATCAAATTGGGACTGACTCATAGCTAACCCACAAGTGGATTTTCAGAGACGGTAAGCCATACCAGAGAAGACTGTCCATCTTTTCCCCTCAGGGCAGCTAGTGGATTTGAACCACACACCTTTGGGTTGGTGGTGAAACTCCTTATCACTAGGCCACCAGAGCTCCGAGCCTAGCTGCTGCTGTTCTTATGTACTGTCGAGTTAGAACTGCCCAATGGTTTTCAGAGACAATTAAAAATTGCATGGGAGGAGAGTGCCCATTCTTCTCCCACAGAGCAGCTGGATTCGAACTGTATGCCTTCGGGATTGCAGCACAGCTTCTTGCCACTAGGCCACCAAAGCTCCCTCGCAAAAGCCAATTCCCCACTTAATACAAACCAGAGCAAAAACCCATGGCATCAGCTCTTACTCATGAGTGTCAGGGTTGAGCTGTGTCCACAGGATTTTTTTCAATGGTTGATTTTTATTTTTTTTAAAGCCATGGGTTTTAAGCATAGTAGGTTAATCCTTAGACCAAAAAGTCAGCAGTTCAAATCTACAAGAGAAAGATGGGGCAGCCTATATTCATAAAAATTTGCAACCTCTAAAAAAAAAAAAAAAAAACCAAAAAAATTTGCAACCTCTGAAATCCTCTACCTTCTCACAGTTCTGTCCTGTCTTATACGACTACCAAGAGTTAGAATTGATTTTTGTAGTAGTAAATTTGGGGTTTGGGGGAAGTAGATTGCCAGTCCTTTCTTCTGAGGTGCCTCTCAGGTAGACTTGAACTGTCAACCTTGTCAGTTACAGCTCACCAATTGTCTGAGTCACCCAAGGTCTCCTAATTCCTCACTTTTGGGTGTAAAAACCTCTCCAGTTTCATTGATCTTGCGGTTGGAGGAAGATTCGAGAGATGAGGTTTGCAGGTTTGGATAGGTGGGGATGGAATTCCAGGCAGGGAAGGTTGGAAAGGCGATGGTGGGAGGGGTGGGGGATGAGGCAGGAGCAGGATCTAGTGGAGTTGAGGGGATATGGCTAGTTGGAAACAAACTATAAAGACCTTGCCGCTCAGTGTGGGGTCTCTTTCTCCAGGATGTACAGCCACATCCAGCTGGCCAGTAAGCTCTCTTCTGGCTGCGACTACGCCCTGTTCAAGGTAAAATGCCTGCGCCCCAACCAAAGGAGCACGGGGCTGGCTCCTTTCTCAGAGGGGGGTGAATGTCATAGACAGCTCTCTGGAATACAGATGGTGATTTCTGACAGAAACCTAGACACAGCATGTCAGACCTGAGCTGCATCTGAGGGGTTCTTAAGAGGGAGCAAAGAGGAGAAGAATTAAGAAGGGATTTGGGTTTCTGGTCTGGCTCCTCAGCCAGAGACTCAGTGGTAGAAATGGCCCAGGAGACCATCTCACTGATGCCTAGGCCACCTCTGGAGGGGCTGTCCCAGCTGATGTGTACTGTGATGCTTGGACCAGTGTTTAAATCATCCCCAGCTGTGTTCGGGGATCACAGGGCCAACCCTGGGGCACCTGCCCTTGGTCATATTGGGTATGTGTTGAAGACCTTGCTTAATTCATTCCCCATCTGGGCCCTCACTTAGTTCAGGGAGGCAAATTCACACACAGGCTACAGGGTGACACATATCAAAGCTCAAGGACCTCCTGTGGAAGTGGAGAGGCAGGCAGACCAGGTGGCTGGAGATGGAACCTGCTTGTCCAGAGGCAAGAGAGAAATCAGCCTATTTTTAGGTGTAATGGGCTGGCACAGGGTTTGGGTAGAGGGCAGATGAGGCTGGGAAGGTCAGCCAGACCCTGCTGGGGCCCCACTTTCCTCTGAACAAAGAGGTATTGGATTTGCCATCCCTTCCTCCCAGGATGGCATCCGGCCCATGTGGGAAGACAGCAGGAATAAGTGGGGTGGCCGCTGGCTGGTCAGCCTTGCCAAACACCAGCGCCACAGCAAGCTTGACCGCCTCTGGTTGGAGACAGTGAGTGGGGAGCTGGGGTTGGGGGATCCACCACAAAGAGAAGGCCTGATGATGGTAGGGGGCAGGGTGACGGCTCACTCTGCTCCTCCCTGACCCTAGCTGCTGTGTCTAATTGGAGAGAGCTTTGAGGACCACAGCCGGGAGGTGTGTGGGGCTGTCGTCAATATCCGCACCAAAGGAGACAAGATCTCAGTGTGGACACAGGAGGCAGAGAACCAGGCCAGCGTGCTGCATATTGGGTGAGGGCCTCGCTAGTACACAGTGGGGTGGGTTCCTCTGGGGGAATGTGCCCTGGCCTGCACGGGGACCTCTAGAACTCTACACACCCTATTCCCTTTTTTTTTTTTCTCACTCACATGAGTAGAGGGTTTGGAATTTGTGGGTTTCAAAGTATTCCTAGTAGAACTTTTCCTTTTGGAAGAAGGACTCTTACATGAGAAAGGCACAGCACAGCTGTGGCTGGCACCAGGGTGAAGCAGAGTGGTTGAACAAACAGGCCAGATGGTCAGCTGGTGATCACCTGAGTTTTATTTCCTCTGCTTCCCCACCTCCCAGGCGTGTATACAAAGAACACCTGGGCCTCTCGACAAAAGCCATTATCGGTTACCAGGCCCACGCAGACACAGCCACCAAGAGCATCAGGAACAAGTTTGTGGTGTGAAGGGGCCTTGACATCACTATTTCAACACCTAAGAGTGTGTGTCTGTGTGTGTGTGTATGTATGTGTGTATATGCAGAGGGGGACCTAGTGTGGCTTACAAGACTGGAGGAAGTGAGTATCCCTTAGCATGAATTAGGGGCCTATATGATGGGGAAGCTGAAGGTTTGGGGGCTCAGCCTGAGAATCTAGCATTTCAGCACTGACTGGAGCCTGAGAGCAGGAAGGGTTGGAGGGATCAAGTGAACACCTGGGTTTCCTTGGATCAGTTGAGGTATAAGACATGTGGTTGTTGGGTGGAAGGCGGTACCTTCAACTCCCCTTAGTTCTCCCTTCCACATCAGGGGAGAATACTCATGCCCACTGCCACAGTGTGGTCGGAAGTACGGGTCAATCATCTTTGTGACCACTCTGCTTAAAAACCTTAAAGGGTGCCTGCTCTGATTTGTGACCTGAGAGCCCACTATGGATCCTATTAGTCCCCTCAGACAACTGTGGAATGGACTCTGGGATGGCTTGGAGACCACCATCATCTAATGAGAGACTGGTGGGTGCTGAGGAGGCAGGAAGCCCTGTGTGACTTCTGACCAGCCTCAGGGGCCTGAGTGGAGGTGGTTGGGTCTTCTAGCAGAGGAAGGAGGTGGCCAGGGCTGGTCACTGTTCTACAAAATGAAGCTTAAGCCCTTCTATGTTCTTACTCTAAATAAACACTTTAATGCGAAATTGGATGTCTTTTTAAAGGCGCTAAATTAAGATTCAAACGCAGAATCTGTCCTGTTCACTCATATAGGCCCCAGATACCCAACCAAGACCAAGCTGGTATGGAGAGAGGCGTAAGCTAGTCAGGAAGTGGGGTATAAGCACCAGGCAAAACAGAAGAGACAGAGCAGTACACGCTTCGCTCAGATGGCCCAGGTCCTCGCGCCTACACTAAACTTGAGTCAGTATAGACAGAATTGCAAGTCTGATTTCCACTGCACTGTAATGAACCGTCTTGCACGTGTTAAAAACCCATCTTATCACCGTCCCCTCATCCGAGTGGCAGCTACGCCCTCTGGAGGGAAAGGCTGTGAGAACCAGGCTGAGGAGTGGGATCCAGAAGGAATTGAGCTTTAGAGGTCGGGGGAGCCGGAAGTCCTGCATACCTGACGGCTCCAGTGGGTAAAGGGATGATGCTCCAACAGAATGGACGAAGGGAGCGCACTGTGTCAGCCGGTGCGTGGGATGGGGATCAGGAGCGGGGCTCGAAGAGGGTGCAATTAAATGGGGTCGGATGGAAGGAGCTGAGATGCGGCTGGAACAAAGCTCAGAGGCGGGGCTCCGAGCAGATAGAGAGCTGTGGGGCGGAGCCAGGCTGAGGCCGTATTCTGAAAGGACAGAGCTGATCCACCTCAAAGGTGGTGTTCGCCTTAGAGGCGGGGTTCAGGAGTGGGAGCCAGGCTAAAAGGCGGGACTCGGCGGAGGCGGGGGATGGAGTCGGGGCTAGGGGGAGGAGCAAGGGCGGGAGGCGGAGCCACGCCTAAAGGCGGGACAAA